ATTTCATCAAAACATAACAAATCAGTCCATCCAACCATAGTGGGAGCTCATAGAGTCCACACAACATTTTTCCAACATAAATAAGGCTACCCACATGCATGCATGAGCTTATATGTGCAATAGAACTTCCATAAATCAAGATTTGAAGGCTTGATCGTCACTTACTTTAGTTGATGAACCAAGCAGAAATTTCGGTCCTCTTTAGCCCAAGAAAAACCGTGAAAACAGCCCTCTTTCCTAGCTTGATGTGGTCTCCAAGTGATTAGCTAAGTGTGGTTAAAGTTTGAGATGATTTGGTGAAGGATTTAGGCAAGATTTGATGAAGAAAATGGAAGAGTTTCTTGGTTCCTTTTTTTCTTGATGGCCGGCTGTTTTGGAGTGAAGAGAGAGAGTGTGTGATGCAAATAAAGCTTCCAAGAGAAGCTAAAATGTGTGGCTCAAAATTTGAACAAAAGTCAACTCTCCCTCTCGCGCGCGTTTTGTGCTCGATACCTCTCGAGTTTGTTGCACTAGTGCACTAAACCTCTAATGCACTTTCATTCACACTAGTATTATTCACTCTTAGTAGTCCCAAAATAATAGTCTAAGGTCCCTCAATTAATCGCGCACATAAAAACGCGTACTTCCGATTTGTGCGCAATAACGTGAAATTTCCAAGAAATTCTTATAACGATAGTATAACTATCTAACATTTGAACACTTAGGCATAAAAATATCTATTTTAAGACTAATGTACAAGTCTCCAATTTTTCCAGGCTTATTGCATCCTCGAATCGGTTATTAACTCCAACTGCGTATTCACTATTCTCACTTAACAAGCTTTCAAAAATTAAATTTTGAAACGAGTCACTTTAAAAATATAACTAAGCTATGGATCCATATAATTAGGTCTAAAAAGATTAAAAAATAATATTCGAGCAATTGGTCAAATAAATAATTAAATAAGCTAGAAATTAGGAATTTAAAATAAGAAAATTTCTGAGTCCTCATATGAGTCTAGTATTACTTTCTCAAATCTCCAATAAATTTGTATCAGCGCGTCTTTCGGAAAACTATCGACGCGCGAGCGGTATACACTTACTTAGAACTCATTCACCTTTAATTCCTCAATTAACTTTTCTTATTCTACTATTGATCATTCTTAATTCTCCAAGATAAATGCACTCTCGAATAGATTATCACCTTGAAACACATGTACTCATTATTCCTCACTTAAACGAATCTCTGAAAATTAAATTTGCTAACGGGACGCTTTTAAAACATAAGAGAGGCATTATTCATTACAATCGTCTTAAAATGGTTAAAATAAATTATTCGAAGAAATTGGGTAAATAAATAATTAAATAAACCAGTAATATAAGATAAAAGTACGAAAATTTTTGGGTCCTCACACATACCCTCTTGCTCTATGCAACAACTACTTGACAGGGAAGCGCATGGTGGAGGCCTTGTGGGACATTTTGAAGTCGCTAAGACATTGTCTATCCTCTAAGAGCACTTTTATTGGCAAAAAATGAGGCGTGATGTGGAACGTATTGCTTAACGATGTGTGACTTGCCACCATGCCAAATCAAAGGTAAACCCCTATGGACTTTACACCCCATTACCTCTTCCTACTGTTCCATGGGTTTACCTTTCTACGGACTTTGTACTTGGATTACCTAGAACTAGGTATGACCATGACTCTGTTTATGTGATTGTTGATCGATTCTCTAAGATGACACATTTCATCCCATGCCATAAAACTGATGATGCTAAGCATATAGCTGATTTGTTCTTTACGAAAATTGTCAGGTTGCATGGAATGCCACGCACCATTGTTAGTGATAGAGATGTCAAATTCCTTAGTTATTTTTGGAAATCCTTGTGGAGTAAATTAGGAACTAAGCTCTTGTTTTCTACTTCCAGTCACCCCCAAACTGATGGTCAAACTGAAGTAGTTAATAGGACACTCTCTACCTTATTGCGTGCTGTCATAAAAAAGAATCTTAAATCATGGAAAGATTGTTTGCCACATGTTGAATTTGCTTATAAGCGCACAGTCCATAGCACCACACACTACTCACTATTTGAAGTTGTTTATGGTTTTAACCCTCTCACACCTTTGGACTTATCACCTTTATCTATGTCTGAGAGAGTTAATATGGATGGATTGAAACGAGCTGAGCAAGTGCGTGCCCTGCACCAAAAGGTAAGAGATAACATTGAGAAAAGAACGTTTCAATTTATTCGTCATGCTAATAAGGGTCGTCGCAAGATGATTTTTGAGCTAGGTGATTGGGTGTGGATTCACATGCGCAAAGAGAGGTTCTCGGTGCAACGCCGCAACAAACTCTTGCCTAGAGGAGATGGACCTTTCCAAGTGGTGGAGCACATCAATGATAATGCTTACAAGTTGGACTTACCAGGTGAGTACGATGTCCACGCTACCTTCAATGTGGCTGATTTAAGCCCTTATCTTGCAGATGATGAGCTTGATTTGAGGACAAATCGCCTTCAAGAGGAGGGAAATGATGCTAGAGGGCAAGCTGACCAAAGCATGGCAAATGACGTTTAAACTGAGCTAAGTGGTCCGATGACTAGAGCGCATGCCAAGAAGCTTAAAGAGACAATGAAAGCCCTAGTTTGTGCCACGTACGATGGAGTTGACCATGCGAGCATTAGTCACGAGCTTGAGTCAGACAAAACAATTCGTTATACTCTAATTCAAGCTCTTGAGTCAAGTGAAGTGGAGTTGGAAGCTTCAACCGAAGTTTAAGTGTTCAATTTCTATTTTTGTTCGTTATTATTTGAGTCGTTCTACTTAGTGTCATTTAAGCAAGGGTTTAATGTTAAATTACCTTGCTTAATTTAGTTGTTAATTGCTTTCAATAAGTCGGCCAAGGTTAGGTTTCCAAAGGGGCCGAAGTTGTCATTTAAATTGTGGGTAATTAGTGAGTCCAAATCACAATAGGCCTAGAGTCTATGTAAGGCTATAAATAGCCAAACACTTCCAACGTTTTCATTAGTTTTTTTTAATAAATCAGAACTTGAGTGTTTAAACACTTCTCTCTTATCCAAGAGAGTCCCTTTTGAATACTTGAGAATTGCTCGAAAGTATTCGTCGAACTTATCAATCAAGTATACACCTTGGTTGTGGCGTTCTTCTACTCATAACATTGATTCACTTATTCGAACGATTGTGGGTTGAGATTCAGTTTAAGGTTCGCAGTCTAGGGCTATAGGAGTCAAGTGTTATTCTGCAACTCTAACTTGATGTTCTTCGTCTAGATCCGGGACTATGTGAGATATGAGTTCATACCTTAGGACGGGTTCGTATCAAGGAAGTTTTTGTTTGCCTTTACCATGTCAACAACACTAGATCAAGTTATTTTTCTAGGGCTTCATTATTATTAGCTTTACCAGATCTTTTCTTTTTGCACTAGATCAGGCTTATTGGAGTTTGCCCCGTTGAAATGCACAAAGAGAGCAGAGTTAGTAATAACATGCATCTAATTCATGAAACAAATGAGAAAATGAAAGCAATCCTAATTGATTGGCTGATTAAAATGCACCAAAAGTTTGAACTTAATCCAAAGACTCTGTACCTTAATAATAGTTGACAGAGTACCACGCTGCCGGCCAAAACAGAGGAAGGAAGTAGAATTATAAATAAAGTAGAAAATAAAATTTAAGGCCAAGGTAGTCTTGATCAACGTTGTAATTTAAGGCCAAAGTGATCTGATGAACATTGTGATGAATAAAGTAACTTGATTTCTTGGATCCAAAATAAGGGTAATAGTAAGATTTCTATCTTTTTTTCTTTTTTTTTTTTCCTTCAGTAGATCTCTGCATCATATATTTATTATGTTAAGCATTAAGAAAAAAATATCACCATGCCATTTTTCGAATACACCATGCATCAAATATCATATAATTTTCTTTCCAATACACTCTAATTTCTATTCAATTCTTCAAGCTTTACACAAATTTTACCAAAGAACCTACTTATTCATACAAACATAACATTGCATAAATTAATACAACTGGGCAGTACACCCTTGCCAGAATATAGAACTAAAATAATTTGTAATTGTGAACAACAAATGTACTTAGGTACTTTATCAACTTGCTTTGGCATTTTTGACAAGAAGCAATGGTGAGGTTCTAAACCTAAAATCTCCATCAATGTTTAAAAAAAACGTAAAATCACTCAATTACATTTAAGTAGAATCTTTCCGGAGGAAGAATGGGTTGAATGGCACTAATAAAGAGAGTGTAAATGAGAGGTTTTGAATTTGAAACTTCCCACTTATACTAAAAACAAATGGTACAAACTTCCCTTACTTACCCAATTAAAAAAAAAAAAAGAAATACATAGAAACTTCACTCATCATTTTCTTTTTGACGAAATTCATGAAAAATGAAACAATTAGAAGAAACAGATCAAACATATTTTTGAAATAAACAGCTTTTCTAGGTACCTGCGTTATTATTATTTTTTCTAAGAACTATATGATATGATACCCGAAGTTGAGATTGAGCAGGCAGGAATTGTCCCCATCACTAATCTAAAACATGAGCAACATAACCACTAGTTTATTAACCCTTAGAATTTTATCACTTTCCAACGCTTTATCCCTCGTTTTTTAGCTATTATGATAAGATATTTGCAAGGTTTTCATTCATCTACTCAACTGCTATTTGCGCAAAGGGTAGAATATCCAAGCTATCTAATCATTTTGTTCTGCAAAAACGCGACAATTATTACACATAGCCTTTACCGAAAACGAAGGGATAACGAAAAGGAATGTTAAAAGTACATCCCAAATCGAGAACTGAAGGTAAAAAAATACTAGGGTAATCAAGCCAGAATAATCATATTCACCTACCATATCGGTGCAATGCATATTAAACAACAGCGTAATCTGAATTCTAGTAAATTTTCACATAAATCCTTTTGTCGGACCAGAACAATGTCTTAATATTGTTAGCCAATGCAATCATCGACTATAAGATTGGAGACACAGTGCATTGTAAATATCTCCTATTGACCTTTCCCATGCAAGATACGTTGTTCCACTAACTGAATTTTGTCAAGAAAAGGGCAATAGGTAGAAAAATTGGCTCTATTACAAGTAAATTTTAGTCTAGCAAAATATTCTGCAATGTAGAACTGAAACCAGAAACTCAAGAGTAATCTGAAAGGACACCTTTTCTGGGGCTTCCTCAGCATCCAAGGATGCTCAAAGCTACACAAATCACATGCACTATCTTACTATTACAGAATTATACCACAAATTAGACAAGAATATGAACGCTGAAGCATCTCTACCTGTACATACAGCAGCTCCAACACATTTGACAAAAAGGCAAAGAGTATACTTGAAGCAAATAAGCTTGGAGGAACATTCCCAGATCTTAACTTGTTTGCTTCAATCTTTGGGAGCTCGAGCTTTTCCAAGCAATGGAGTTCCAGACAGACGAATGCAAAAGATGAAGTTCTCTAACTTTTATCTTTAACTGCTTTGGCTTCCTTTATGGATTCCAGAGCATCTTCCAAAGATTTCTGGGGGTTCATTGAATTAACGAAAGCAAAGGGCACGTTAGAATGAATATTTTCTTCAGGCGCTACAAATCCCATCCCATTTACCTAAAAGCCTTGTGTGAGAAAAACCAACTTCAAAATTTTCAGAAAACTTCATGCAACCAAAAATTCAACAAGAATTTAATGAGAAAAATTACAAAAAGGATGACTTCAATACAATTTAAAAAAACCTGGTGCACAAGCTTTACAGCAACATATCTATTATCTGTAGTTAGCAGCTGGATTTTGCCCAAATGAATCACTGAACAATAGCAGCTACTATAATTCTATATTCTCACATTAAGCTAGCCCTTAATTTCATTAATGTGAACATTTGAAGTAAAAGAGTATATCAAGGGATACACTCCCAAGTCATATGCTAAACCAACAGTAGAATTACATGTATTTTTCCGCTTAGCATGTCAAAAAAGCCAAAGGAACAATATGCTTAAAAGTCCAAATATCTATCATTGTTGTTTTAAGCTGGATATTGCCCAAGTGCACCGTAGAGTAAAAGCAGCATTTATACTTCTATACTATCACATCAAGCTAGCATTTACAGTCATTGATATGGAATCCTATTGTGTAACATTATAACAAGTTACAAATCATATCATAAGGCATCTACACTAATATGTTTAAAAGGCTTCTGAACCCTTTTCTTTCAGTTGCTTGTATTAGAAAATAATTAACAAGGTGCCTTGGTAGGCAAGGAGCCAGAGAAGGTGCAAGTATTCTAAACTAGTACTATATCATTAATATTTTCTGCACATATCCTTCATTTGTTCTTTGTCTGATAAGCAAATAAAATTGGAGGTCATGAAAACCAAAAGATGGGGAAATGGAACAAAAAATTTATTACTTAAATCAGTGAAAACTAAAAACATTTATCCACTTCGATGTTATTATGAAGCTATTAACAACAAACTACGCTATTTTGGATAAAAGTTGATTGAAGTGTTAGGTAAATTCATTGACCTGGTTTGAATGTAATAAGAAATGCAAATGCAAGGAAGATATCAACACTGACTGAGAGCATTTCTGGCTTCAAATAAAAAAAGGTGAAAATTTATGATATATTTCTACCCCACATCCCTAAAGATTAAACTAAGGTTGACTTCCAATGCTTGTGGATACCATCCTACTTTTTGAAAGAAGAAAAAATACTCATCAGAATCAAGTAAAGTCATAACTAGACAAAAAATGTATTTAGTAGTGATGGAAGATGCAAAGACATCAATTGAAATTCATCCAGATCCTATAAAACAGTACCTGGAAATTTGGGAAGATATGAAGAATGTTCGACAAAGATATCTGTAGTACTTGCTGGAGGATAACAACAAAGTTATTGACTATATACCCAAAAAGAAGACTTATTGCTTGGATGTGGAATGTGCTAGCAAGTAGTATATGGTGGTCCTCGGTTTTCTTTCATATGTACAAAAAAAATGACAATATATGCAGAACAATTTGAAAGATATAAGAAAAGTTTCCACAAAAAATGTGGCGATACTGGAGAAAATTGCAGCAAATCAGAACAATTTTAAATTTATCCTTGAGCTAAATATCCGGAGAAACTAAAATTGTTCACTTGCATGATAGACTTAGGTGGTATTTCAAAACAGAAAAAGAGGTTTAAGTGTTAAAGTACTTTCAGATGACTATATAACTCTAAAAAGTGAAGTTCACTAGTCAACAAAATTATTAAGCTAAGCAATGCTTTAGGTCTCGCATGAGAAAGAATATTCTACAAAAGAAGAGGCTACACCTGTTTTAGAGATTATAATACATCAAATTAGGTCTAACAAGATGGATGTCTAGCCGATCAAAAACAGATCATGCGAATGACATCAATCTAACAGGAACGGATACCATTTATGAGAAAGAAACATAGGAAGCCATTGTGGTATAGGGTATGAATAACATAAATTAGAATAAGATTATCCATGCTGAGGAAGACAAAGAATTCTACTCAACTGATGCAGTTAATATATGTGGAATCACTGGGAAATCAAGACTAAAGGATTGCTTGTAACACACCTGTCAGGAAACTATTACTTCTGTAGCCTGAAATATCTTTAATTTGACAGAAGAAATGACATGATTTCAAGCAAACACAAATTGTACATTTAGTTGAACAGAATTACAAGCTCTAGAAGATGAATAGTAGCTTTTTTGAGTGAGTTAACATGGTTTAAAACTTGCTAAGAATATTAATGTAGACACAAAAATTAAAGGGAAACTAATTGCACCAAAAAATATTTGTCATATGTTACAAAATTTCATGTCAAATACAACAACATTTCATGTCAAACATAACAACCTTTTCAGGCCAACACAACCACATACTTTTTCCTCTAATATTAGTTTATGCTTCCAAACTAATCAGAGCCAAAGGAACATTAGAAGAAGCAGCATTGTACAAGATTCAATTCATAGCAACAATAATAGAGTTTCCATTCACAAAAAACAGAACATAATGAATGAAAGCAGATAAGACAAGGGAAGGGAGGTTGACCAAACAAAACTCAAGTTTCTCAATTTCTCTATTTAGTATGAGATTTTCTATGGTGCCTTACATTTCAAATTAGCTCAAACTGAAACTTGTGCTATGCATGGTCTATTATCAACTTGTTCGGCATGATTGAACACTCAGATTAATCAGCAATGAATTCAAACAACAATTGCTCAGACACAATAGAGTTGTGAAGTTTTGCACTACATTGTGCCTTCCTGTAGAGTTTACCTTTCAATGAAAAACTACACTTGAAGTCATTGCAACTGAATAAAACTCTTAGGTTGATTGACTAAAAATTTTTTAATAGTTTAACAACTTGATTCTTTTCGTTACAGGAACTTAAGGACTGGAATAAGTTATTAATATCAAGTTCAACTGTTTCATATCAGCATAGCTCTCTGTCTTTTGTCGTCCCTGATCTGTCATTCCTATGAGCACTTTTGCCTCATTAAACTTGCTCAACCATATGGCTTTTCAGAAAGAGACTTCTGCAGTTCAATTTTTGTGCAAGGTATCTAAAATTTTTTAATAGTTTAACAACTTCATTCTTTTCATTACAGGAACTTAAGGACTTGAATAAGTTACTAATATCAAGTTCAACTGTTTCGTATCAGCATATCCTTTAGTCTTTTGTCGTCTCTGATCTGTCATTCTTATGAGCACATTTGGCTAATTGAACTTGCTCAACCAAATGGCTTTTCAGAAAGGGGCTTCTTCAGTTCAATTTTTGTATAAGGTATCTAACTGTACTTCTTATAATCATTTATTTCCATTTTTGAACTATAGTCTTGAGACCCCACCCATGGTTGTACACTTCAAAGTACATCCCTTTATGCTATCTCAAGATATATCATAATTGCATTTCCTTTTATTCACTTTTTCACAGTCAGAACAGCACTGTACAAGTAAACAAGGACAGTTGTAAACAACATACCCCAGAATTTTTTGTGTTCCACAGGGCATCTACACCATCATCAATGAGATATATCGCACCTATTAAAACACTGCAAAAAATTTCCATCACATCGCAAGCAAAGATAGAAAATAATTAACAGAAGAGATCATTGGCAGAATTAAATCATTTGGTAACTAAAATAGACAGCATATAGATGTCAAATCATTTTGGTTCAGGGGATCCAAAACAAAAACGAAAAACTTAAGAATTCTCCTTTGCCTAGCCAAAGAGAATTGACTTTCCCACAGATGCACAGGATATGGTAGCTACAATTTTGACTACTGAACTCACTAGAACCTGATATTAACTTTTTAAATTACAAGAAATGCCACATCCAAACAATGGGTAAGAACCACAGCAGCCAATCACAGGAACAAATCAATGGGCTTAGGCTTGCATAAAATCCCACGGGACCATAGCAGCTGGACAACAGACATCAGAAATGCTCACTGGTTACTAAACTACAGTTACGGTCTATCCCCTGGAAAATTTCATACTGACTTGAGTAACTAAAACATATATCTTCTTAATCTGCATTATTGGAACTGATTGAAAATCAAAAGCAAATCATAGGGTACCTCCCTTCCTTCCTCCCCCCTGTACCATCAAGTTCTTCATTCCAAACTAGTACTTCATTGCATCTAGGATGCCTTATAACCAGCTTTTCCAGCCAAACACCAAACCTAATTTGTCAATTAAACTACACTACTTCTGTCCTGGATATCAATCCGCTTTATTCAATTTGACAATGGCAAATTTATAAAATCCACCAACAACTATCTAAAAAGAAATAAAATCTAAGGAAGCAATAGCAGATTTTAGTGTAGGATAAGCAAAATTTACATAATAAAAAACTATTTCAATCCTAGATGCAAAAACCTTCCTTTTTCAATTCCCTTTTACAATGCGGCAAATACGAAACCATCCGCAATTATCAAATATCATACGAAAATATTGTCTAATCTCACATAGATTGACAAAATTAGCCTATTCAGCATCAACATAACACCAGATTATCAATAAAAATAACTGATTCATAATTGGAAAAAGAAAATAAAAAATAAAAGATTACCCAGTTATAGTCGCAGTTCGAACAAAAGTCCGCGCATTGAGAAACCGAAAAAGCAACTCAAACTGGAGACTCGGACCAGCCCTTTTGCCCCTACTAGCCGTATAATCATGGGTATAATTTCCTCCATACCCGTACCCATAATTCTTGGCGTACCCATGATTCTGATTACAACCAGTATTCCAGGAGGAGGCGGAGGAAGAAGAGGAGGTTCCGTAGCGGGAGATATTGTAGTCGGCACGCTTGCGATCATCGGTGAGTATCTCGTAGGCTTCGGAAAGCTGCTTGAATTTGACGGTGGCTGTGTCCCTAAGATGTTTGGGGGAATCGGCATGCTTATCTGGGTGAAATTGCATTGCCAAGCTTCGAAAGGCTTGCTTGATTTCTTCTTTGCTCGCGTTCCTCTGGACTCCCAGAATCTTGTAGTGATCCATTATCCACCAGTATAGTATGTGTTCTTCCTATATATATATATATATATATATGATGATGATGATGATGAATAGAAGAATGTGATTTTGGGATTTGGGGGGATTTTTGGTCGTTTGCAGGTTGGCTGTTCTTCACTGGGCGACTTTCCGGGGAGGGAAACACCGAACGACCGTGGCTCTACAGGAGCCTTTTTTTTTTTAAAATTTAGGAGGAACTGCACAAATAATCCCTCACATATTGCAAATATAAAAATTTAGTCTCTCAAAACGAAAATGATCATTTTTTATTCTTACAAATAAAAAAAATCAATTTAAGTTCCTTTGCACTTTTCCGAGCAATTTTTGATTGAAATGTGTCACGCGCATATCATGTGCCCAACTTTTAAAGGGCAAAAAAGACAAATCACTTATGTGTTGATCAAAATGTAAGGGACAAATGATCCCCAAAATTCTCCTTCTCTCTTTCATCTCAAGTAAACCCTAAATGTGAGTTTCATCTCCATGGCAGAACCACCAATTTGTAATTGTGGTGTACCAATGAGAGTGAAGACATCGTGGACAGCTGAAAACCCAGGAAAGAGGTTCTATGATTGCGCTTACTACGAAGTAAGTGTCTGCTGATTTCTATTCCTTTTTTATTTCAAAAAATGTGAAATTTGAAGAGGTAATAATTGAGCTTCAACAGCATAATAGCGGCAGCGGCTATGGCTATTTCAAGTGGTACAATACAAGTACTTATGAGAAGTGCGATAAATTAGTCAGGCATAGAAGAAGATTGACGAAGAGGATAAGAGAGTTGGAGGCAAAGGTAGAAGAAACAAGCCCCAAGGAGAAAATGATGAAAATGTTGCTGCTTGTGGCCTTTGTATACATAGTGCAGAAATTTTTGTGGAAAGATTGAGTTATAACTACTATTTGTTGGTGCAGGTGGTGAACTGGGTGGCTCTTATTTGCTGTATTTCGGTTGAGTTACGGTTTAGTGGCACTGTTGATTGTACAAATGGGATTTGGAATACACTTCACATGCTGAAGTCCTATCTGCTATTGTGCAATTCTTCTTGAATATGAGCTTACAGCATAATATGGAATAAAAGTCTGTAAAGGCGCAAAGCAATCAAAGAGGGGAGGGGGGAATTAGCACTACAAGAATTTTGGTCTTCAATGACAACTACTTTTCGTCACAAAAAAGCAAAAAGTCGTCACTGATGACTTTTATTGACAACATTTCGGTTGTCACAGAGTCGTCACTGAATCTCCGTCGGTAAAAGTATACAGTGACGACTTTAAAGTCGTCAGTGAATAAAAACTTTTTTATGACAAGATATGTTGTCAATAAAAGCTACAAATTTAGTGACGACATGCTTTCTTGTCAATGATGCATGAAGCAACATAGTCAGTGTATATATTAATTAGTGACAACTTTGTTGTCAATAAACCCCTTATCAACTGTGACAACAATTTCTTATCAATGAATAGTTTTGATTCAGTGACAACAACAATTGTCAATAAAGACAGCTTGCTTGAGAAATGCTACTCATTTACAACACCTTGCAATGTGTAGTTTGATGATTTTCCTACTACAATAATATCTAAAAAATGAAAACATCAGCAATGTTTAATAAATAACAAACGTAGACACCCGTTACAATAGGAAATGCCATAATAACATATTAAATATTCAAATGTCATAAATAAGTGCAACATCACACTACAAATAGTTTGATAAGTTTCAATAGAGCAAATTTTGCCATATAAGTCAAGGCTACACTAAAAAACAATTCCAAGTCCCAAAACATTTTCCGTGCTACCGAAACATTTTCTAAACTTAAGATAGCACTATAACCATAGTTTTTGAGTTGACACGTAAGCCGTACTGCTAATCTTCCAAACCTCTAAAATGAGCAATATATCTGCAATAAAATAGTAAAGTTATTAGTAGATGATAGAAAAATTAAAACAAGGAAAATTAGTTAAGGAGTCACCAAAAAATAAAGTGAATCATTTGTTTTAAGTCTCATCTAGATAGTGGCTATACAAAGTGTGAGAACCCGTAAAATCCTAATATTTTTCCTAGGGTTTATTTCCCCTTAATTGCATGTTTTCTGCATTTTCTGGCTTAGAAATATTTTCTTAGTGGATTTTATGAGCAATTATAGTTTTAAGATGATTTTTCTAGTATTGGAGAATTTTTAGAAAATTAAGAATATATATTGGACGTGGGACCCACTAGTGCGATAAGTTCGGAAAAATTCGGCCAATAAGGTTAAGTTTCGGATACTGTGAAAAATTTATCGGGTGTTAAGAGATATGTAGAGTGTGTGAAATGATTGATGTGAGAGAGAAAAGGAAGATAAGAATGCATTTATGAAGGTGACAAGTGTCACCTTCTCATTGGATGGCTTTTAAGAAACACTATTCATTTTCTTGACTTTTTTGACCAAGGGATTAAATATCAAAAATTGCACAAAATTCACCATTTTGCACCCTTGATGGCCGGCCCTCTCCAAGCAAGAAGAAAGACAAAACTCTTCAACATTCTAGCAAACTCCTAGTTCAAATCAACTAAACCACTTGTTTAACTTAGTTTTCACTCCATAAAATTCTTCCTTCTAGAGCTAGTAAGTTGTTTGGTGAACTTTGTTTGAAGGATTAAGGTGCCCAACATCTTCCTCTCTCTTGGTTCTTGGTAAGTGAAGCTTGAAACACCCTACTACACCTAATGATGCTTATGTTGTGCTTATTAGTGATAAGAGTGCTGAAATTTCTGGTTTTAATCTTGGTTTGAAGTGATTTGGTGAAGTTTTACATTTTATGATGATTTTTCTGGTTTAATTGGATTATGATGGTGTGGTTGTTTGTGATGATTGGCAATGGACTATAATGACTCTTGTGAGTGTGAATTGTTGTTAAATGCAATCAATTTTGGATTTGGATGGAAAATGGAAAGTTAGGGTTCTTAAATCCCCAATTCTGTCCGGTTTTGGATCATAGGGTTAGAGGCCGAATTTGACTTTGCTCAAAACATGAAAGTTGTAGGTATTGATGTGTTTGAGGTGCCTGTAAAATTTCAGGTCATTTGGATTAATGTGGAATGAGTTATGACGAAATTACTGTAGCTGTTCTGCTTTGGACAGAATGCGAAAACTGTACTGGTTATTGGCCATTTTGACTGGAATTGGTTTGGATTTAGTTGTTGGTGTCTTCTGATGAAATGTATCTGGATGTCTTAGCTAACATATGCCTTTGGAATTTCGGCATTTGGACTTGTATAGACTAAGTTATAGTAATTACAGTTTTGTGTGATTTGCAAACCTGTTTTGGTAATTCTGGTATAGTATTTGGCATTTTCGACCTAGTTAAGCTAGGAACTGGAGTGAGTGACCTTCTACATTGTTGTAGCCTTGTTTCATAGCTTCTAAACGGTGGGTCTTACACCCCCATCCGATAACCGTAGAGAATTTTACACCATTACCGCATAATAAGGGCAAAACAGTTTTCTATTTGGGGCCAAGACTAAGGCCATTTTCTAATTTCTGGTTTGCTATTATGCTCATTTATGCATATGTTTATAAAACCCTATTGGGGTTATAATTGGCATGGCTATATGGCTCGTTATCGAGTCTCATTGTATTTGTTTGCATGTTTTTAGGGCGTGACGGTGGTGCACAACGTTCTTTTGACTAAAGTGTTTGAAACCACATTGTGCTAGCTTGGTGAGTGTACTACTCACTTATGTGCTATTACATGGCTTTGATCTTGGTACTTGAGATGTTGAATGTTGATTGATCCAAGTGAGAGTGTACTTTATCACTTTCACTTATTGTTTCGCATGTTATTGGAAAGTTATATGAAATGTTATATGAAATGTTATATGAAATGAAATACATGACTTCAAATATTATCCATGAGCTCAACCCCATTGGTTATTGATTGAATCGAGCCGGCGAGGGTTTGGTCGTGCCAATTAATGTGCCTTGGGGCAACATCATAGGGAATCTTGTAGTATGAGAGACTCTTGATTCCGGTTTACTCGAGTAATACCACAATGCATGCGTTTGGATTTCGGGCCCGGTTGAGGAATGTTAGGAGGAAGGGAATGGAAGTTAAGAGGAGTCTACGGTTGGTTACCTTTCAGACATTGACGGAGAGTCAATGAGACTTGATCAAGAATTCAAACGAGGAAAAGGGCTCTTGAGAGCCACCCGTATCCTTTTATCCTCATTATTAATGTGTGGCTTTATTTATTTTGGTAAATTGGACTGTTAAGCTTGATGTATCCATGAACTTGGTTGCTTGAGTTGTATTCTCACTGGGCAATTAGCTCACCCCGTTCCTTTTGTTTTCCTTACAGGAATATGACTCTTTTGGAATGAATTTTGAAAAATGGTTGCCGAATGAACTAGATGAATGACTCTTTTGTATTGTATATAAAATGGGACCCTAAATGTATCATTAGGGCCGTTTTCACTTTTGTTTTGGCAAACCATATATGTAGTGACTTTTGTATCACTTTTAAATGTCATTTTGGTTTGTAAAGGCTAAATGTTATGTGGTATATGTAATTCGATGTTTGGTTGGCTTCGGACGAGTCGGTTACTATTCATGGCCGACTCCGGATTTTGTTTCTTTTATTTTGGGTTATTTTGCCCTTTTGCCTTATTTGCGCGCGTTATAAGTTCCGGAACGTGATAGATCGCTCTATACTGCACCGTTAGTCCTGGCGAGAGCTGGGCAGGCAGTCCGCTAACCTCTTTGGTTCGCCTTAGGGGAAGGTGGGGCTGTCACAGGTGGTATCAGAGCCACTTCGCGTGGTCTCTGCGCGGAGTGAGCCTAGGGCCAAGTGGTGTTGTGGTCCTGATTTCATGGAGATGTCTAAGTGCTCGTTTGAGCGTAAGTTATGAATGGGGCATGTTATAAGTGTAAAAATCTTTATTATGCAACTTGAGGAAGATAGATATGTATGTCGGGTAGGAATCTATAATATGGATGATTTACGCTTGGGACCGGCCGGCTCGAGTTGTGAATTATCTTAAATGGGATTCTTGCGCCCGGATACGAAAGAGACGAGAGTCTAGGTTAGAAAGAATGGGGCGAACTAGAAATTTCGATCCTATGGATGACTTTATATGTACTTGACTGACTGTTCTGTATACATGTTGATACTGTTATGTGTTCT